AAGAAAAAATAAAGGAAAATCTATGTCAAACAGAACTTGATGAATAATTGTAATAAATAATGTATTTTTGAAGAATTTTTCATGAACATTTTTCAATGTCATTAATTATTTACAATTATTCACCCTATCATTTCTGAGAAGAGTTTTCGGACTCTGACTTGTTTGCTGACAGTTTGTTCAGATAATTAATATTCAGACATTTCCAACCCAGACGTGGCTCAGTATTTCTCTCTGTCTCAATGAGAGCAGTGCAGATCTCTGGTGCCATAGAGTGACCGCATTGCATTCAGTGTGTTGGATAAATCCATCACAGAGGGTCTCCATGGGCAGCAGCAAGCAGACCCATGGCTATATCAGGATTCACCTAAATGGAAAGGGGCAGATAAAAAGGAGATGAGTTTGGACCTCTCCTGTGAGGGTGCCTATGTCATGGGAGCCACAGGAGGTGCTTAGTTACATGGGAGCAGGTTCAGTAACACTTGGGTGCTGTCTCATTTGGTGGCTGGTGAGGTTCATGTATGAACTGCACCCTGTCAAAGGAGACAGTGCTCACAGATGGCCATGCCTTATGGGTGCCAAGAGAACAATTCTGTGTTCAGACAGGATTTCCCAGCTCCTGTAGGAAGCACTAAGTAGATCCCCAACCGGTGGGAGGAAAGTGAGCTGTGGTAGCAGCCTGCCTCATGTCAGGTGTTGCAAGGGGGAGAGTGACTTGGTTTTAATAAGAACTACCAAGATCAGTGCAGACTTCCACATTTGTTCTTGAATTACAAGTACCTCTGTACCACAGTGTGCATGTACATCCAAAGGAGGAAAAAAGCCCTGGCTGTGAGCAGTGTTGCTCAACAATTGCAAGTCTTATTCTTACTAGTGCATTAAATAATGGATACCAAACATGTATTTGTTGCACAGCAGAGGAACTTTGATCACTGCATCTATCAATGCCACTGCCATTCATAGGAGGTGCTCCTTTGTCCTCTCCTGAGAGCAGGACAGTGCCCATCACCTTTGCTTGCAGAGGACTGGAGCCTAAAGCCTCTCATACACATCTTACCTGGGCACTCACAGGCACCAGCTCCATGTGCTGCTGGCCTGGGCTCTATTCACGCAGGTGAGAGTTCAATTGCTGGGTGCAGAGGATGCTCCTCAGGTTCTGCTCCATCCAAGCAGCTCTTTGCTCCTGCTGCTCATGCTTTGTAGTCTCTGTTTTGGATTCCAAGACCCAAAGCTGTCCTGTAGACAAAGACATAAGCAAGGTTTGGATGGTTTGGACCTGTTCCCACAAGATTTAATCAGCTGAACACGTGCCCGTGCAGACAAAGTGAATTGCTGTCCATGAACTGAATCTCAATGACCTTTTCTCTCCTCAAACAAATCTGAGTATCTCTTCATGTTTCACTTGGAACAGCTGTTAATTGCTCTCAATATTGTTGTTCTCAGATTTGGTGCCCCTCTCTCATTTGGTGTGCATCGCCTCTGGATTGGTAGGCAGACTTTGAAGCTACTTTCTTTAATTGTAATTCAACTACTTGTGATATTTTGGTACCAATTAATATTGATTTTACAATTGGTTTACAGAGATGTTGTTTTATTACTAATATATTTAATGTGCAAATCAATAAGAACACTTGTTTGGCTCTCTCCCTAGAAGGTAATAAAATCAAATATCTCAAGAGTAAAATGCTATCTGATCCATAAATGGCAGCAGCAGATGCTTAATGTAATAGTTAAAGACTATGCAGCATTCTTGGCACCTTCCATGCGTTTTCCACATACACTGTACTAAAGTGACACTCAATAACTTGCTAGTTACAAAAAGTTTGGTAAATTTGTTGGCACCACATCAGCCTAAAGGAAGGCTTCAGTGTCAAGGAATGATTTTATATGGACAAACTAGATATTCCTTACTACTCCTTGTGCAGGGCTCCTTAGGGTTTCCTAAATGGTGACTCCATAGGAGAAGCCAAATGTTCTTCATGCTTCTCCTGCTTCTTGAATCCCAGGTGATTGTAAACAGCTTTATGGAAGAAGGACCTAAAAGGAGGCGAGAGGAATATGGATTTAAAGCTCTGCTGATACTTCTGGGAGTTGTTTATGAGGACAGATTTAGGTGATTCTCCTGCCTCATCACAGGTTTCCTCTGGTGCTTTTCTTCCCTTAAGGTTTTACTACTGAGCAGACCTATTGGAAACCAGGGCATGCTGGAGGCATGTCTGCTCATCATTCCCACCCTCTCCAGGGAACTCACCTGCTCCAGGGCTCACCCATGCTTTGAAATGAACCTCACTGGTCTGGGCATCACAGCACTCTCCATCTCACCTGAATGTGAAGTTGCCAGAGGCACTTTGTGGTAGAGAACAGGCTTTTGTACCAGGCAATTCCCAAACAGGATGGGTAGGGATGCTGAAGGATTAACAGAGATCAAACTGACTTCAGAGAGGCTGGGGAGATGCAGGCCAAAGCAGGGAAAAGAGCAGTGCTTTGTGTACTTTTCCTCCAGTTCCTGCAGAATCAACAAGGTCTTGGGGTCCTGCAGTTCCTGCGGCACTGGTGGAAGGAGCAGCTTTGTAGACATGGAGCTTGTGACACAAACTAACAGCAGCCTCGCAACAGAGAGGGGATTTACCTTTGGCTAGAGATGATGATTTATGGGTGAGCAAATAATGAACTTGGCAAACAGTACATAATAAAGAGAAAAATCTTACACTTTTAATTAGCCAAAAATAAATGGCTGAGCATGGGGCTGAATCCATTGTCTCTACATCTCAAGTTCTTCATCTTTCACTAGTTGTGGTCTAATGAGCATATTGCAGAAGTTTTAATTCCCCTTTAAAATCACTAGAGCATCTGAAAATCTTTTTTTCTGAAGAAATGAATCACACATCATCTCCTCTGGCAGTTCTGCTCTTTTTCCAAGATCCCTTCAGAAATGCTTGTAGTCACTTAGCTCTTCAGATTCCTGTTGTGGGAGCTGCGTCATGATGCTGCAGTATTAGTTACCCTCTGAAATACAGCAAAAATGACTCCATGATATTAACTGCACAAAACCCCTCTTCCTTCAGCAGGCTGCAGGGCTTTGGGGGAAAAAGGATCCTGTATCTGATACAGTCATGCAGTTTCTGATACAATGAACCTGGCTGCAACCCCTTGGTCCTCTTATTGCAACAGCAATTAGTGAACAATCACTGAGATGACCAGAAACACCTGACCTTTGGTATCCCATTCAGAGAGGGACAAGAGACTTTCCCCAGTGAGATTCAGGGCAAACTCTCAAAAGGAAGGTTCAGACATTTCAAAGTCAAAATGGATACCAAAGTTCTCTGCAAAATGAAATTCTGAACACAGTTGGCAGTTACTCAGCTGTTTTGTTCAATTATTCTTGGTCTTATTTACCTGATATTTGTATTATCAGGTAAAAATAACACCTACCTGCTCCAAAGGCTGGTGCAGCGTGCAGGAATCCCCCCAGTCCTGAGCTCCAAGCCTGCCTGCTCGCACAACGGCTCTCCAGGGGCTTGTTGGCAGATGGATAATGGGGTCTGAAGACATAATTCCCTGCAATTGACCCAAGGATGTGGCGTTTCCATGAGTGACCCTGACTACAGCTTCTTGCTCTCTGCTGAAGTGTCCTCCAGAAGAGGCTCAGGGAGCTTTTCACCTGGGGGCTGCTCGAGCTGCTGAGTGCTGGGGTGGAATGGGTGCCCACTGCATCCTTCTGGGACCTCACATGGACAAACTCCCAAAGCTATGGCAGCTCTCTGAGCGTCACAGCCCCTTGTGCAGATGCCACACCAGCGGCTCCTACCCAGGGCTGCATAGGAGCTCTGGCTGCATCCCCAAATTGCATCAATCTGGCAGGCACAGGGGACTCAGCTAAAATCACATTTGCACAGTCCCTGTCTTGCGTACTGGTGCACCCAGCTTGTCTCCTGTTTCAACAGCCCCATGGAGAAGACCAATTATTACTGCCCTAAGAGTTATTATTCTTCTTAATAAAAGATGCAAGTTAAGTGAATGGGAAAGTGTCCTGCTGCGTCCTCAGCACTGGCTGCCAACAGCCCAGTGTTCTTGTTCTCCCTCCATCATCTCTGGTCCCAGACAGGTGAAATGGGATGACTGCCATTGTGGGGAAGCAGTAAAGTATAAAATGCTTCATTTGCTCATGAAATGGAAATGTGAACAGCCAGAGAGAGGGACCTTGCAGCCTGTGCTGCCTTGTAACCAGCCAGGGAGGCTTTGAGGTGCTCCTGCCACCGGGAATTTCCATAGGATCCCTTGAACCTGGTGTGAAAGGTGAGGTGATGTGGATTCAGACTCCTAGGAGCCGCTTGAAACACGTGGGTTGCAGGGGGAGTTGGATGCCCAATACCACAACCAGCACACTGAGCCCCCAACACCCTGTTATAGCCGGCCACTGGCTCAATACAGAATGCCACTGCACTGTGCTGGGAGGGCACATGCGGGCTGGGGTGGAGAACCCAATTTCCTGTCTGGAATATGCAACATGGAGACAATAGAGCAAAGTGTAACCACTGTTTACAGAAAAAATTGTCAAGGATTTATTTATTGGAAGTGACTGAGGAATATGAATTCTACACTCCATTTAAAATGCTTTTTATTTCTCTCAGCCTTGGGGCTCCGAGTACATCTAATTTCACCCATAGCTATAATTCTCCACCAAACAGTTCCTGCTTCTCCTCTGGGCTCCTGAGGAGTCATTTTGGTTTATGTTCTCTCCCGGTGCAGCTTGTGCAGAGGCTGGAGACAGTTACACGCTAGCGAACTTTCCCAACCCTCCTTCCCCACTGGGTGCACGCACACGCATGCAGTGCAGGCGAGCGGCATGCGCTGGAAACAGCTTGACACCTCGCTATATATCTATCTAAAAAAATAAAGCTCTAAATGTCTTTATCATGTAGGGGTTTCTCCCGAGGAGCCATGTATTTCACTTCAGACACTTTGATTGTCCCTACCTTGCAGCTAACAAACTATTAGTTTTGTTAGTATATTTATTCCACTAAAATTGGAGCCTGTGATTACAAATCCAATACTGTGATTGAGTCAGGATTTGGAAATAAATCTGTCCGGGGCTCATCTGGCATTTTGGTGCTGGGAGAGCTGGTGCTAGGCGCTGCTCCTCCAGCCCAGCTGCGGGCTGGACCATCCTGGATGTGGGCGCTCCGGGAAGGCTGCTCAGCCACAGGGCACTGCTCTGCATGGGTTATTGATCAGGGGGTGTTAGGTACTGGGAATGGAGCCTGTTTCCCCAAGCAAGCAGGAGGTGGCTGCAGAGCCTGGATTTCCAAACTGCACAGGTTTTTAAGCTGTTGCAGTTTGCCCCGTATCACACCGTCACCAGGGTCTATTGCTCTTCAAGGTTTGTGGCATTCAGACCATGACTTTAGTGATGTGGCGGGGTAGGAGGGTGAGCTGAGTGCCTGAGCAGGGACCAGGATGCTTCCCTTCCACGCAGGCAGAGGGATGCTGGGGAAGGATGGGGTAATCATACAGATGTGTGGCAGACCAGGACTTAAACACAAATTCTCTGGATGTTTTAGGAAAATCTTGTTGTTTCTCGCTATTTTCTGAAGGGAGGATAGCAGTTCATCCTCTGGGATGTGGTTTCAGCCAGGATCTGTGTGGGCAGGGGCCTCTCTGCAAACAGGCACACAGATCCCTCTGGGGCTCAGTCTCACCCAGGCCCACTGGGGATGGGGACAGCCGGGGCACTTCATGCCTGAGACCAAACCAAAGACAAGGGGTAGGGAGTGAGCCAGGAGAGGGGTGAGGTGTTGCTCTTGCATTTCTGATGTCCCTCCAGATCATTTCCAGTAAAGCTGCTTTGCTGAGATTTGCTTGCTTTAAAATAAAGCGGTTGTCCAATTTCTGCAGGTAGGAAGCACCAGCATTTTAACTGTTTGGGTATCACCCCTTGCAAGCTCTAAGGAAAGGAACTAGCAAAAGAGAAATCACAGCGCTCGCACAGGTAATAGCAAAGACTCCTCCCTGTGCCACATGCCTCATGGTGGCAATGACCTTGCCCCAGGCAGGGCTGCCTGGACACTTCCTGCTGACATGCGGCATCTTTCCAGGCAGCCCCAGCCCCATTTCCATTGATGTGGAATCCCAGCCCTGTGTCCTCCTTCCACAGGGATGCAAACACCTGACCTGGAGGTGAGTTCTGCATCCCACACCCCGAATCCACCACCTCTGGCTGTGCTGCCCGGGGCTCTGATTCCCTACCAGGAACACATGTGCTACCAGTATGTACATATGAAAAAAGCCTGTCAGGGAAGATTAAAACCCCAGACAGTCTTTATCGTAAGATTGTTTTTTCCATTTATTTATCCCTTTTTTTTCCCTTTTAGCAAGAGTAGTCAGGTTTTGATATGATTAGAATTGCAAATCTTGCATGTTAAAAGGGAAGCACTGAAGTAAAAGGATGCTGCCTGTGTAATGAGACACATTTTAAATCCAGGCTAGGTAAATTTTGTGTTGAGCATAAAGGGTATGAAATAAACTAGCAGTAAGCTCAGCAAATGCCCCAAGGCGCGTCCCCATTAGTATTCCCATTTGTGAGCTCACTTCATAAGACTAATGGAGTTGCTACCTGGGGACATTAATTGTGCATGACACCATTGCCGAGCCTTTGTGCACTCTTACTAATATCACAGTGCCTCCTTGACAAAACGCCTGCAAAGATTACAAACATACCTAAAATAACTGCCACATTCACACTCATATTTGACAGGGATCTTCAAGTTCAGTTACAATAGAATTACCATCATTTCTTACACCTCTGGCTTTTTATTACATTAAACAATGGTTGATATTGCTTCCTTTAACCAGTGTCATATTGTGTAAAATCTATCTATCCCAGGCTTTTCTATTAAGCCTCCCATTTATCAGGGAAATGTATAGCTTCCATACTTGACTCTTACTACAAATATTATATATTATATACTTAAGCAAGCGTGCACATGTACACACACACCTTCCCTTTGCTTTAAAGGAACAACAATATGTTTGAGCTCTTGCAATTAATACCTAGAGGCTCCGCCATTGTACAAGGTGCTCACAGGTCTCCCAGCATTAATTACAACATGATCTGTGGGGAAAAGTCTTCCTGGGTCTGCGCTCCCTGTTTTGAATCCTAGTGTCCAGGATTAAGATGATGGATGAGAGGATTTGCTGAAATCACAGCAACCAGAGCAATATTGTGTTTCAAACAGCAGATGAATTGGGAGCCTCTGGAGCTCTGAGATGCTGGGCTTGGCCTTTCCCAGGCACATGGGTGGCACTGTGGGTTCCCTGTGTGCATATGCTGGGACTAGTCTTGCTGTGCTCCTATCAGACACGTCACCTACATTAAGTTCCCCTCCCATGGGTGCCAGTGCTCCAGTGGAGCTCCTTCGGGCAGTGTGGAGAGGCATCCGTGGGAGACCAAGGGAGATTTCATCCTCAGAAGTGACAAACAAGGTACAGAAGTGAATTACCTGAAACCCTTTGGGGATTCAGTGTGCAGGGATTTAGCCCTTAACTACCCCAATTTTATTTTTATATTAACTATAGAAATAAAGTGTTTGATTTTGCTTTTGGCACTGGCTGCCCCATCCCTGGCAGTGTTCAAGGCCAGGCTGGACAAGGCTTGGAGCAATCTGCTTTAGTGGAAGGTGTCCCTGTCTGTGGCAGGGGGTGGGACTGGATGAGCTTTAAGGTCCCTTCCAATCCAAAGTGTTCTACAAGCCTATGATTCTGCTCTTTCCCCTCTGCACTAGAGTCTCCTCTGATGCGTCCTTTCAGAGAAGAGCCATGACGCAGCTCTGATGTGCAGTTTTAGAGGATGATGCTGCGGTGCTTCAGTAGTGGCCTTCCCTATTTCTGCTCCTTGAGACTATGGCAGGACTTACTGTCAGTAATATTAGTTACTAGTCATTAATGTACAGCATTGCCTGTCAGCAGCTGATCACAAACTTCTTTACAAACACCATATTCTACCAATGACTGCAGCAGGACATGGGGGTGAGCACTGGGCAGAGCTGCCTCCTAAGGTATTAGGGAATCTTCCTTCATGGGGCTGGCCCTGTCCCACACCTCCTGAAACATGGACAAGCAAATGCAGATGTCCAGACACGAGGAGCTACCAGGGCACAGCACTCAGCTGGTCTTTGTATCAGGCATTTCAAAGAATGAGTTTGAGCTGAGAAACACACAGCATACGCATAAGGATGATCCGCCCCTTGGAGCTGGCGCTCTGCGTTTTCCTGCTGTCTCATTGACTTCTTGCCAAAAAAGGTTAAAATGCCAGAGTTTTCTCTGGAATTCTGAAGTTGGGACTTAAAAAACACTTCAAACACTCGGTTTAATAGACCTTCCCATCAGCGTATTCCCAGTTCCACATAGCTCCCTAGTGACACGGGACCTTTTGTCAAGCACATATGAAATTAAGTGAAATAAAAATCATATTAAAAATTATTACCATCTAACAGCCATTAGTCTGCACATTGCTGTCACGTCGTGATGGATTTCTCACTTAGTTCAATGAATGTTCTAACGACAGTGATAAAATCACTCAGAAAAAATATAATAAACTGTTAACCCTTTCTGCAGCTGCTTGTTTTGCAAAACCCGTGAAGAATTGTTCAGCAATAAGTTGCTCCCTGGGGTGCATGGATAGAGAGGAAAACCTGCCACTGCCTGCCTTGGGTATGCTGCAGGGGGTGGAATTCCTGTCCCTTCTCCCTATCCAGGGCTGGGGAACAACACAATGGCTATGGCAGAGGGACTGGTGCATGCGTGGTGATGGGAGAGCAGTGCTGGCTCACCAGAGGGGATGGGGATCTACAGCTCTCATGGACTTTGCCATCTTTCCCATGGGAGAACATGGCTGAGGCCTCGTGGGGGTTGCTGTGCAAGTTAGTTATTGCCTATTGCAAAATAGAGCTTATTCAGCTCAATGTTTTTGTTAGGGCTATAAGGAAGGTGATGCTTTGCCTGCTTCTCCCTCAAGTCCAACACCCAGACATGAA